CTCCACAATTTGGCACTGTGATGCTCTATTTGAAAATGATTTTCGTGATGCTATTGGAGATAATTACTACAGCACCTATAAATTCAACTTTGGTCTGTCTAAGGATCAGGTCTGCTCTTTTCCATCTTTTGGTTGGACATTTATGCACCATTTTACTTGATCTACAAGTTCTTTTCAGGAGTTTGTGTGGGTGTCCATGTTTAGGTATAAACTGCATGAGGTGTAGTTTTATTGTTCTTGTAAAGAACCAATTCAACCCAAAAGCTTAAGCTTTTGGGTGAGGCTACATTAATAGTTTTATATATCTCAACACGCCCCTTTACACGAGAGCCCACTGGGCTTGAAGGGTGGATAATGCACAAGCTCACCTACCTGTGCGAACAAAGAAATTTCACTTGAAAGAAAGTGGGGGGCGGCGAGGATCGAACCCGGGACACGAGGCTCTGATACCATATAAAGAACCAATTCAACCCAAAAGCTTAAGCTTTTGGGTGAGGCTACATTAATGGTTTTATATATCTCAACAGTTCTTATTGTTTTAATGACAGGTTGAGAGTCTTCTGTGGTTATTCAGTTCAAGAAAACTTAAAATTCCAAACTCTCTACACCAGAACGAAAGAAAGAAAAGAGAACGGGATTACAAGTCTACAGAAGGTGGACTAAAGAAAGGGAGGTTTAAGCTTAACATGAATCATGGCATTTCAGTTGTTGCACAGCCAGAGGTGGAAAGGCTTTCTTTGTCTTCTGATTCTTGCAGAAATTCTGAAAGCATCCATTTTGATGATGATTCTCATGATCTCAAACATCTTGACTTCCACCATTCAGAGGGATCTGGGGCTCAAAGTGCTACTGGTGACGAATCACATGAGCTGCAACATAAAAAAAGAAACTTGGATATTTCTGCCAAAGACACTGAAGATTATATACCCTTGTTTTCACCAGATCATTCTGACCTTGAAGAAGAGGGGTTTGATTCCAGAGAGTGTTCAGAGAAAGAGATGGAGTTAGGTATATTTAAGTGCAACCAAATGTCTTTTATCCCTGTACCACAATTTCCATTTGGGCCTATTTTGAGTAATGAAGGATGTAACCAGATTAAAATGGAGCAACCATTTGCTTCTCCACCTGGGGGTCCATGCCACAGTTCAGACGTAAGTGACTTCCAGTCCAAAGATGGAAGCAATCATTTAAAACCTGTGCTCTCCAAGGGTATGTATTCTGATAACCTTAAAAAAAAGACCAGTGTGTTTTCTCGCCTAAATTTTTCTTCGAAGTATCAAAATGATGCCAGTGGAAAGAAGTTGGTAAATGACCTGTCAAGAGTAAAGCAGCAATGTCATGAGAAATATGAAAAGATGGAAAAGGTTGCACAACAAGCAGATGCTTTTGGAGAAGACCTGTCAGTGCCTGAAATCCTGGAAAAATTATGGCACAGACATGCAAAATTGGAGGAATATAGGGGGAAGAACTAATTTCCTTAAACAAGAAAATGAAGATTATTTAGTAGGCAAGAAACATATAGTGTAATTTCGTGCATGAGTACCAAAGGACAGTTAAATGACTGCCAAATGTCAGGACTGGCTACAATTTTTTGACAGAACTTTGTGATCAAGTCAAAATTAGTACGCATAATAGACCTTTTGGAAAGTCTTTTTATTGCTATTTCTTCTTCCTGAGTTAACAATCCCTGAAATGATGTTCAACAAGTTACCATATGTTTGTTTTCAGATACTAGTCTTTAAAAAAGGAATAGAAGGTTTTTAATCAGTGACCTTATATACAGGTCCAAAACCTCCTTCTCCTAACTTGTTTTCTGGTGTGAACATTGAAGCTGTTTGTAGCTGCCATGATTGATGCATAATTGAAGCTTCTTATATCATTCCCTTTCACCTTCATTTTGAAGATCAATAAATCTGTTAGATCTATCAGACACCACGAAATTGAGCATGTCATTCTCCATTTTGCTTCTCTTCTCCTTTGTCTAGATAAGAATGTGACAAATGAGGTTATGATTTTGAAGAAAAATAGTGCATGTAACTCAAAGATTGTCCTCTATAAACTTTGAGAATCGTTTACCTTGAAGTGCAGCTTTTCTTCTTCTCAGCCTTAGGAAGAAAATCCCAAGGCTAATTTTGAGCACAGCTGTTCCTATAAGAACACCAATTTTTATCCACTTCTTCATATCTGCAGTATATAACCAATCATAAAGTACTGTCCACTATATATCATGTGTGGTTTTGTTTATATAGAGTTCAGGATTTTGAATTACTTTATTGTTCCTATAGCATGTAAAGATGTGTTCATAAATTTTATACTACTCATAAAATTTGATCAAACTGACACAAGTAGAGCTTGAAGTACTAGAGGCTTCACTTTAACCTTTTCTTAATTTTGATCAAACTTATTCTATTTAACATTGTAAGAGTTGTAGACTAAACGTTGAGAGTGAGACAAATGACAAAGTGCTACTTGTACAGTTATCTTTTCAGCTTTTCTTAACTTTTGTTTTCATGGTTTAGCTTTGTCCTAGCTTGTTTATAACTTTTTCTTCTTCTTTTTAATGTGTCTATTTAAGTTTTGTTTTGTAAGGGTTATCAGGGCTGAAATGAAGGTTTAGTCTGACAAATGAATAGGGCAAACCAAACTAGCATGTCAATTATCCCTCCTGAAACGCATAAGGAGACATCTTTAACATGAACCATGAAAATGCATGTTAAATATCATAGATACAAGAGGAAATGATAGTAATCCTTGTTGTATTCAACCAGGTTGTCAGTAGCGGCCCGTAGCGCCGCTAAACTGCTACCGTAGCGGGTAGCGGCGGTCGGCCGCTACAAACCGCGACGCTACGCGACATTGGCCGTAGCGGAAGGTAGCGGCGTAGCGTAGCAGCAATACGTCTACCCGCTACACCACTCCCATGTTGGAATTTGATGGAGAATCCGGAGATGATGATGATTTTCTTTATTAGTTCACTTCTTGTACTTGACTATTTGACATTTTTATTGTTCAGTTGTGTTTAATTTTGGATCCTTCCTTTATGTTCCTTGTATTTGACATTGATTGTGGAATTATGTGTTTGATTTTGTGTGACTTCTTACGTTTGAGCATTATTACTAAAAGCAGTATTGCCTCGTTTCTTGACTGTTAGTATAATATATGTGGAATTAATACTTCACCGTAGCGGTAATACCACTACCCGCTACACCGCTATACCATTTTCGGGGTCGGCCGCTAACTGCTATTGACAACTATGGTATTCAACTACACAACATTGGTGCTATTATATAGCAAACCAATTGAAGAATACAAAGAGACACACTCAATGTGGGACTTCTACACTATTAACACTAACACTCTTAACACTCCCCCTCAAGCTGTAGCATATAGATCATATGCTACAAGCTTGATACATAAATAATACTCCCATTAGGAACCAAAAACAACAATGCTACATCAACGAAATGAAATGACTAAGTACAACAAATCAACTGGAATGACTATTAGTCTGAAGAGCTGATAAAGAGACAGTGCTGGAATGGACATCAGAGCATGGATGGTGCCGAAATTATCATCGGCAAAGACAACTGAGCTGACCAGGACATCAGCATCAAGATCCCTCTCAGACATTTCATTTAACAGTTGGTGAGCAGCCGTGGTTTCCCCTTGACTATGCTACAAGCTTATTACAAGAAAGACCAAGTAACATAACATCAAGATAAATCTCCTAAATGAGAAACCAAAAATCAACAATGTGCTAAAAATGGCGTCGAAATGAACATCAACATGGAAGATGCCGGAATGATCATCGGCAAAGACAATTGTGCTGGAATGACCATCAGCAACATGGACAGTGCTCCCCCTCAAGAGGAACTTCTAAACAGTGCCGGAATTATCATCGGCAAAGACAATTGTGCTGGAATGACCATCAGCAACATGGACAGTGCTCCCCCTCAAGAGGAACTTCTAAACAGTGCCGGAATTATCATCGACAAAGACAATTGTGCTGGAATGACCATCAGCAACATGGACAGTGCTCCCCCTCAAGAGGAACTCCGGTGTCGGAATTAACATTAGCGGAGACAACATCAGCAACTTGGACAGTGTTCCCCCTCAAGATGGATGATGAATAGTATAAATACTCCATCTTGGGAAGAAAGAAGATTAAAGAAAAACAAAGCTTCGCGGAATCGGAAAAGTCGTCGGAGACGGTGGTGGATCGCCGAAAAAGTCGCCGGAAAGTCATCGGAAAAGTCACCGGAGACGGCTGTCAACGCTGGACGACGCGGTCAACGGTGGTCGGTCAATGACAACGGTGGTCAACCCAACAACTTCCCAAGGATCATTCTTTTCTGATGTGACAGATCAGTCTAAGCTGCAGTCACAGAGCATACTAAGAAAAACCTGAAAAAGAAATAGCAACGGGAATCCCTCAAGGAGGGTGATATCTCTCTATAACCATATTGAAATTATGGAAAATAGAACTAAGTTAAACGGATTAAGATTCCTCTTGTTAGGCTCTAGATACTATGTTAAATATCATAGATACAAGAGGAAATGATAGTAATCCTTGTTGTATTCAACTACACAACATTGGTGCTATTATATAGCAAACCAATTGAAGAATACAAAGAGACACACTCAATGTGGGACTTCTACACTATTAACACTAACACTCTTAACAATGCACTTGCAAAAATTACCTTGTAATGAAATTTAATTTAATTAACAATGTAAGCAACAAAGATAAAACCTGATCATTTGGTCATAAAAAACCAATTCCTTTAAAAGAATTAAGTTATTAGGTGAAGATACGCGAATGATTTTCCTTATTTAGCATCCATAAACAAATTACAGTTTGTAATTGACAAATAGATCAATTTAACAAGCTAGAAGCCATACCCTTGTGTGCCTTTACAAGAATATTGACACTTAATCCAGAAGATTTCACTATAGTAGTCACCCAGTCACCATAATAGTATCTACATTGTATTGGGAAATTAAGTATTGAATCCAACACAGCTGCAATTGTTCCAGCAAATAGCCATACAATCACTTTCAGTCAGTGTAATATTCTTGTCTTCCGTGAAAAAACCATCAGGGGAGGATTGGTGATCAAAATATCCAAAACTAGCTTGAAATTTATCACCAGGATGCCTACACTTGGGTTGGGACAATATTTGACAACCTCCTTTGTTGTTGAAGGAGTGATAACTAGTGTGAGCTCTAGCAATAACTTCACCTCTTGTATCCCTCAAGTTTCCATCATCATCAAATAGCACCCACTGTGATTCATCATTTTGACTTATGTAACTGAAGGACTCCTCATCCTTATTTGAGACAATGTTGTATTGGTACTTGATCTGTACTTTCTTTGGAATGTTCTCAAAAAATCTTTTGTTTCTCAGTGTCCCACTTGTCCAATATATCTTTCCTTGCCTTCTTATGATCAATTGATGTTTCTTTGGCTCCCATTCAAGTGCAAAGGAACCTGAAGGTGGGTGGCCTACAGAAACTGATGCTACAACAGACCATGACTTACCACTTACCAGTCTTGTGGTTAACCCCTAGTATCATACCTGGTAGCAGCACATCTGAAGGATGATCAAAGCTTTGCCACATCAATTGCTTAATATATCCATTGACATCATATTCTTGTAGGATCAAATTTCCAGAATCCAAAAGGGTGACAGCAACCGTTTTGCTGGTAGCAAGAGCAGGAGAATAGACTGTTATGGGCTTCTTCCTATATTGACTAGTGATTATCAAAGCACTTGAGTGGATGTTAGAGCCCCTGAATCATTGTCAATAGGGTAATTTCTATTGCCTATCCAATCTGCATATCTGGTAGGAATGTGTGTTTTGAATGACTAAGTATGTGTTTCTTGGGTCAGACTCAAGAGCTTCAAATTTCAGACAGAATTTTTGCTTTGATGAACATAGTCTACTTGAGTGATCAAGAATCTCCCCTGGCTTTAAACTGTCTAAAATGACATTATTTATTATGTATATGTGTTTAAGGGCAGCAGCATCATCAAATTATATACATGTATATTCTGTTTATATTTAATCATTTTATTTTATTGAAAAATTCACATGAACTGTTATATAAATAATTGATAATTAAAATATCTCGATCTTACAATGTAAGTTATCCCTCCCCTATATCTAAAAATATTAAATAAATTTTTTATCTCATGCAATTTTTTTTATTTCAAATAAAACACTATATAAATAATAAATTTGTTCATTATTTGATTGCATTATTAATTTACATTATAATTATTTTTAAAGTATTTATTTAATGATATTAATATTAAGATAAATAATTTATTTAATGATATTAATATTAAGATAAATAAATTAAATAATATAAAAATTTATAAAAATAATTTATTATACACATCCATTTTTTAATTAAATGAGACACTTGACTAAATATTAACGAAGGTATCCTCCTTAAAGGACACAAAATGATTTTGCACCTAATTTTTCCCTTATTTTTTTTATTTTTTTTTTGTAAATGTGGGTGTACTAATTGCTTAAATGAGACATTTGAGTAATGATGGGTGTAACCAGATTAAAATGGAGCAACCATTTGCTTCTCCACCTGGGGGTCCATGCCACATATCAGATGTAAGTGACTTCCAGTCCAAAGATGGAAGCAATCATTTAAAACCGATGTTCTCGCCTAAATTTTTCTTCAAAGTATAACCTTAAAAAAAAAAAAGAACAGTGTGCTTTCTGGCCTAAATTTTTGTTCAAAGTTTCAAAATGATGCCAGTGGAAAGAAGTTGGTAAATGACCTGTCAATAGTAAAGCAGCCATGTCATGAGAAATGTGAAAAGATGGAAAAGGTTGCACAACAAGAGTGCCTGAAATCCTGGAAAAATTATGGCACCGACATGGAAATTGGAGGAATATAGGGGGAAGAACTGATTTCCTTAAACAAGAAAATGAAGTTCATTTTTAGTTGGCAATGAACATATTGTGTAATTTCGTGCATGAGTGCCAAAGGACAAGCTATGTCACTAAATGACTGCTGAATGACAGGACTGGCTACAATATTTTGACACAACTTTGTGATTAAGTCAAAATTATTACGTATAATAGACTTTTTATTATTATTAAAAGGTAACAAATCTTTGTAACACTTTGGCACCCATTATTAGTCATTGATTCCATTTACATCCGACTGTTTCAATTCATTAATTATGTAAGTCAATTAAAAAATCACTCTCCATTAAATTCGACTAGTGAGTGTGTGGCGTTACCGTTACCTTGCATATAATTGCAAAAATGCTATTTTCCGATTAATAATGAATGTAAGAGTTGTAATTGTCCAGAAAATTCGTGTGCCAACCCCAAAAAGTAGCTAAGTTGGCAACTGAGTTCTCAAGAATTTGCTTGGATCTCTAACGATAGGTAATCTTTGGGCCGTACTCCAATCATAAGGTGACAGGAGGAAAAAGAAACATTTTCTTCATTAGGTTTTGACACGCGCACATTCACGGTGATTGAATGATGGAATTGGACAACAAAATATTTGAGATTCAAATGCTAATGTAATACTGATGATTGATGAGATTGGTATAAAACTTGGTTGCGTTATTGGTATCATAGAAACGTCTTATATATAAACGTAAGAAATAGTCACTGAAGGATAAAATTCAAAAAGGAACAAACCCTAAACAAATTATCTTCGCAATATAATATTATTTTATACAAAATGTCATTATCTTTACTAAACAAACCTAATCCTAAAAATATATACGTTTGTTCTCCAATAAATACATTTATTCCTTAAAGAAAATTACAACAACATACTGAAAACCAAGTAGTTTTGATTCTAGCACTAGAACTATATAAAAGGCTACTCTCTAGTAATCATTTTCTCTATTTTCATGACTCTCCAACTTGATAACTTCGATTGAAAGGAAATAGGAGTACTTAAGCATAAATGGTGAGGTGCCAAACCCACAGCTATGCATTCATTTGTAGATTTATCTTTCATCTACGTTGGAAATAGTCAAACCATTCACAGAATAAGTTTCATTATCATTAGGAGAATTGTATTCCTCCTTGATCTTTCTTCCACGGTAAAATGCTGGTCTTCTAGGCAAAGGAAGTGATGTACTTTCACTAGTCAACATGGGTATTATCTCTGACATGGTTGGTCGATCAGCTGCACTTTCTTCTACACATAAAAGACCAACATGAATGCATCTTAATGCTTCATCTTGAATCAATGATTCTGATAAATTTGAGTCTACTAGTTCTAGTCCTTGGCCTTGTCTCCATAGTTCCCAAGCCTAGAACATCACCATAAAACATTGTTGGAATTAATTTGGCTAATTTGGAACATACATATTAGATTCAATATGAAAAGAATATTGGGGAAATTCCCTCTTTAATTTGGCTAAGTAGTAGTAATCATAGAGCGAGCCTGAAGTGGTGATAAAGTTGTTTCTTTGTAACATGTTTGAATTCATGAAACAGTCTCACTCGTACCCTCGCAGGTTGGGGTTAACGGGGAGTGGTTTTAATAGTAATAGTAATCAAACTGCATCATGAGAACTTACATGTCCTACTAGATTGAGTGGCCCTTCAGCATTGTAGAAGCTGTTATTTCTTCTACCACTAATAATTTCAAGGAGTAAGACTCCAAAAGCATACACATCTGACTTGATAGAGAAAATTCCCTCCATGGCATACTCAGGTGACATGTAACCACTGCATGATATCACATGTGAGTAATGTATTTTATATCAGAAATGAATTAAAAAGCATCTTGTAGAAGAAAAGAAATGGTAGGCCGCATAAATTAAGTGTACTCACTATGTCCCAACAATTCTTTTAGTGTTTAAATCTGATTCTCCTTGTGTGAAAATTCTGGCCATACCAAAATCTGAAATTTTGGGATTCATATTTGCATCAAGAAGAATGTTACTAGCTTTCAGATCTCTATGTACTACTCTTAATCTTGAATACTTATGGAGATAGAGCAATCCTTGAGCAATTCCATCAATTATGTTGAAACGTTTTTTCCAGTCTAGCTTTTTGCTTTGAGTAGAATCTTCCCATTAGAAGCATGAACATAATTAGTATTTAAGAAGAAAATAAAATCGTAAGAAAAAAGAAAGAAAGATGATCTAAGCAAGATCCAATTCTTGCTTTTTCTGACAGAAATAATTCCTCACCAAATAAAAAGAAGTCCAAGCTTTTGTTAGGCATATACTCATAGATTAGCATTCTCTGGTCTTCATGAATGCAGCAACCCAACAATTGGACAATATTCATGTGTTGGAGTTCAGATATGAGAACTAACTCATTTTTAAACTCAATGACTCCTTGCCCTGAACCTTTTGAAAGTTTTTTTATTGCTATTTCTTCTCCCTGAGGTAACAATCCCTGAAATGATGTTCAACAAGTTACTATTTGTTTGTTTTCGGATACTATTCTTTAAAAAGGAAAACAAGGTTTTTAATCAATGACCTTATATACAGGTCCAAAACCTCCTTCTCCTAACTTGTTTTCTGGTTTGAACCTGTTTGTAGCTGCCATGATTGATGCATAACTGAAGCTTCTTAAATCATTCCCTTTCATTGCTTCATTTTGAACATCAATAATACTGTTAGATCTATCAGACACCACGACATTGAGCATGTCATTCTTCATTTTTCTTCTCTTCCCCTCTGTTCAGATAAGAATGTGACAAAATGAGGTTATGATTTTGAAGAAAAATAGTGCATGAAAAAGAAACTCAAAGATTGTAGTCTATAAACTTTGAGAATCATTTACCTTGAAGTGCAGATTTTCTTCTTTTCAGGCATAGGAAGAAAATGCCAAGGCTAATTATGAGTACAGCTGTTCCTATAAGAAGACCAATTTTTATCCACTTCTTCATATCTGCATTATATTACCAATCATAAAGTTCTGTACACTATATATTATGTGTGGTTTTGTTTATATAGAGTTCAGGATTTTGAATTACTGTATAGTTCCTATAGCATGTAAAGATGTGTTCATAAATTTTATGCTACTCATAAAATTTGATCAAACTGACACAAGTAGAGCTTGAAGCATTAGGGGCTTCACTTTAACCTTTTCTTAATTTTGATCAAACTTACTCTATTTAACATTGTAGGAGTTGTTGACTAAACGTTGAGAGTGAGACAAATGACAAAGTGCTACTTGTGTTAACAGTTGTCTTTTCAGGTTTTCTTATCTTTTTTTTCATGGTTTTATGAGTATACCTTTGTCCTAGCTTGCATAATTTTTTTTTTCTTCATGTGTCTATTAAGTTATATTTTGTAAGGGTAATCCAAGACTGAAATGAAGGTTTAGCCTGACAAATGGATAGGATATCCCAAACTAGCATGTCAATTATCACTCCTGAAAGCATAAGGAGATATCTCTACCATGAGGCATGAAAATGCACTTGAAAACTTTACCTTGTAGTGAAATTTAGTTTAATTAAGAATGTCAGCAACACTGATCAAATCTGTCATAAAGAACCAATTCTTTTAAAAGAATGAGTTATTAGGTGAAGACGCGCGAATGATTTTACTTCTTTAGCATCCATAAACAAATTACAGCTTGTAATTGACAAATAGATCAATTAAACAAGCTAGAAACCATACCTTTGTGTGCCTTTACAAGAATATTGACACTTAATCCAGAAGATTTCACTATAGTAGGCACCCAATCACCATAATAATATCTACAGCCAGTTGTATTGGGAAAATAAGTATTGAACCCAACACAGCTGCAATTGTTCCAGCAAATATCCATACAATCACTTTCAGTCAGTGTAATATTCTTGTCTTCCAAGAAAAAACCATCTGGGGATGATTGATGATCAAAATATCCAAAACTAGCTTGAAATTTATCACCAGGATGCCTACACTTGGGTTGGGACAATATTTGACAACCTCCTTTGTTGTTGAAGGAGCGATAACAAGTTTGAGCTCTAGCAATAACTCCAACTCTTGGATCAATTAAGTTTCCATCACTATAAAGCACCCACTGTGATTCATCATTTTGGCTATTGTAACTGAAGGACTCCTCATCCTTATTTGAGACAATGTTGTATTGGTACTTGAGCTGTACTTCCTTTGGAATGTTCTCAAAAAATCTATTGTTTCTCAGTGTCCCACTTGTCCAATATATCTTTCCTTGCCTCCTTATTATCAATTGGTGTTTCTTTGGCTCCCATTCAAGTGTAAAAGAACCTGGAGCTGGGTGGCCTGTAGAAACTGATGCTATTACAGACCATGACTTACCAGTCTTGTGGTTAACCCCTAGTTTCATACCAGGTAGCAGCATTTCTGAAGGATGATCAAAGCTTTGCCACATCACTTGCTTCATAGATCCATTGTCATGATATTCTTGTAGGATCAAGTTTCCAGAATCCAAAAGGGTGACAGCAACAGTTTTGTTGGTAGCTGAAACAGGAGAATACACTGTTATTGGCTTCTTCCCTTCTTGACTAGTGATTATCAAAGAACCTGAGTGGTTCAATGTTAGAACCCCTGAATCATTGTCAATAGGGTCATTTCTATTGGCTATCCAATCTGCATATCTGGTAGGACTGTGTGTGTTTTGAATGACTAAGTATGTGTTTCCTGGGTCAGACTCAAAAGCTTCAAATTTCAGACAGAAATTTTGCTTTTCTGAACATAGTTTCCTTGAGTGATCAAGAATCTCCCCTGGCTTTAAAATGCCACTCACTGCAGCATATGTGGTAATCCACTGCAGACACAACAATGAGAAAATTACTATGCTGGCTACTTTAATTTCACCTTCATGGAGCATCATTGCAGACTTCAGATTTGCCAAAAGATAACTGCGAATCCTGGTGAACTTAGTGACCACAGGAAAGAAAGCAAGTTAGCAAGTTTCACTGCTCTTTTTTTTTTTTTTTTTATAAACTACATGTATCTTCCTCGGGAGTTAATTTTGTTCAAGCAAGGAACATCACATCATGAAAAACAGATTTTTCACATTTAGAAGAACTTGAATCCAAAACTTTGCTTAAGGGAAACGAGCATGTACCACTTAAACCAACTCCGTTAGTTAAAGTTTCAGTACTCTAATGTGAGATACATATATATACATATAAATGAGATGAGACCAACTTTCACACATGTAAAAATAAAAAAATCTTATACTCAATCTTAAATAAATTAGTACTTTTTAATGAATATTTTGCTTATTTTTTTAAAAAAGTCTCCTCAGGTGGTTTGTACTAAAAAAAAAAAAAGTTTGTCGGTGGATGACTTTGCTCAGCCAATTATGAGAAACATGCGGGCGAGGAATGTGAAAAACATGCATAGAGGAGGCAAATTGTGTTTGAGACACATCTAATTACACATACTAATAAACGCGATGCAAACATGAGTATTATTTGTAGGGGTTTATATCCCTCTCGGAAATCATATATTTTTTATTTTTATTTCTGTTAAGAAAAAAAAACTATTTTTTTGGATAAAATGTTCTCTTAATATTATCGACTTGACAAAGGCTCACGTTATAAAAAAAAGCATAAGAAGGATTAACACTTAAAGGATAAGGGCCCATTTCTTTGGGTTTCTCAAAAAAATAATTTTTATCTCTTTCTTATTTTAGAAGTGCTTTTTATAAAAGTTAAAGTTATTTATATTTTTATAAAAATATTTAGTTTTTTTAAAAAATATTTGACTTTTGACTTTTACTTTTTTTGGAAGTTAAAATTTTTAGCTTTCGGAAAAAGTAGATTTTTGGCTTATTTTGTGACTTCTGCTTTTTTTTAAAAGCAAACATCCAACCGAACAAAAAACGAGAAATAATTTTTTTCTTGAAAAAAAACAACTTTAAAAAAAAAAAAAAACTCATCCAAACGTGTCCTAAATCCTCCACGATGGGATTGGCAATAATGAGCTATGGGGAGATATCCATGTTGCGATGGGGTCCAGAGGTTAGTACCATGGCATTTTGATTCAAGAAATTCAATCATATTAAGTGGCCCCCACATGTATGTTATGGGCCTATCTAGAGGTTGCAAACTGGGCGGGGCGGCATTAACTCGCCAAAAAATGAGCCAGCCCATCTCGTCCCGTTTGACGGATTGGGCGGGTTGGCCCACCAGCCTGAGCCTATTTTACACTGACCCGCCTCGGTCCGCCTATGCCCGCCATCAACCGGCCAAAAAATGAGCCCACCTCACCTCGCCCCGCTCCGCTTTTGAGATGAGTTAAAAAACTCAGTCCGTCCCGCCCCGTTTGACGGGTTGGACGGATTAGCCCGCCGAACCGAGCCCGTTTTGCCACTCTAGGCCTATCTACTATTTGTTTAGCGTGCATCACCTATCAAATAACTTGATATACTACACATGCTCTCAAGTACTTTTTGGAGCGGGGATGAACATGCCAAAGCCAATGACATCTGGCTGAGGGTATGCAAACATGTTGAATCTTATGAAATTTTTATATTTTCATCCCCGAATTGATAATTAATAATGATCCTAAAATTTTATGGGGAAAAGATTTTGAATATAATATGTCTAAGGATGATTTCTACGCAAATACTTTCCTGGACAGATTGAATCAGTTCATTGTTATTATTCTCGCTGTTATTGTTGTTGTTTGGGCTTGTAGTTTTCCACTATGAAAGCTACAAAACCACACGGTCTCTATCACAAAACAACCTTTGCAACTTCAAGCTTTATTTCTAGAGTAAGGATATTCTAACTACTAAAATTTTTTACTATTAACTTACTACCAATCACATCCATTGGATCAAAGAGAGAGAATGTTAAAAAAAATTTGAAGAGAGAGAAAATGTTAATCTAATGGTGATTAGATTGATAGTAAATTGGTAGTAAAAAATTTTAGTAGTTAGAATATCTCTCATCTTATTTCTATGCAAAGCTCAGCTTCACGCAGGGAGTAACTTGATGCTATCAAATTACTTTGTTTTTAAATTTTGCTTTTGGTTTTAACCTGTGCACTTTGTCAATAGACAAATAAAAGGTTGCTGGGACAATCGACATAGTGAAATGTCAATACACAAGGCAATCAAATTACACCGGCGGGACCTAGTGAATAAAAAGGATATCTGATAAATGATATTTAAAATAATTTTGCAATTTTTAATATTTAAGGATTTATTTATATAATACTAATAGGAATGGTGTCCTACCATTTTTTTTATGCATCTTGTTAGCCCTACTATTTTGTTGCTTATTATGCCTATATTGAGGATTATAATCTGACACCACCTAGGGAGTAATGGCCTTAGTTTTGGTTGTTGAAAAACATATCTATGATTTTTGCAGATTGTTTTAATGAGAAGTTTTTTTGCATATATTATAGAGAAAATGGTGTTGTGATTAGTTTATTACCAAGGTTATTGAATTGCAATTCGTATCGTGAATCGTTCGCCTGTTTTTTAGTATCGTGAATCGTATCAAATCGTAAGATTTAGAAACAAATTAAAAATAACTAAAAAATAACTAAAAAAAAATAACTAAAAAAAATGTATAATATAATATAAATCGAAATTAAAAAAAAACCCAAATACCAAAATAAATAAGTAACCAAATCTAAAACCAATTATTCTCATATTTCAAGACTAATATTATCACTATCACTATCAGCATCTAGTATTGGCATATCTAGTCCTTTATCTTCTCCATTAGTAGAGTCATTTGACTCATCTTCGATATCTTGTTCAACAATTTGAGGTTCTTTGCCTTTGCCTCTATCATTCCTATCATCTTGAAGATTTCGAGGACCTACAAATATATATATGTAAATAAATATATTAGGTAAGGTATTTGATTAAAAAATAATTATATATGCAAATATACCTCTCTTTCTCTTTTTGCTTTGGTCTCCTTCATCAGTGTCGAAGCACTCATGAACATCCATCCAAGATTCCTCATCCATTAGGCAAGGCTCCTCTTGCTCAGTAATCCATTCCTCGTCGGAATCTAAATCTGATAAGCAGATAGGATCATATGTGTCTCCTTTTTCCTCCCTTTGTTTTTGCCTAATTTCAAGTTGAAGGTTGTATTTAACAAACACAAGAGCATTCAACCTTTGTTGCTCTAAACGGTTTCTTCTCTTAGAGTAAATTTGATCAAACACACTCCAATTTCTCTCACACCCTGTAGCACTGCAAGTGAGGCTTAGAATACGAATAGCTATTGTTTGCAGCTCTTTGCAGTCTTCTCCAAAACTATTCCACCATAAAGCTAGCACAACACAAGTAATATTGATAAATAAATATTTGGTTAATGACTTTTTATTTTTTTTGAAAATCAAAACATCAATTTAATCAATAAACAAAAGTAAATGATTACCAGGTTGCTTCCTATCTCTAGTTGACAATTGCTAAACTATTTCCAAAGAGTCCCTCAGCCATATCAAATTTCTCAATTTGGGAATCAATTGTGATCCTTGTTTCAATATCAGGACACATATTCTCCAATGTCTTCTATAAACCAGTTTTAACCTCACGATCTGGGTTAAACTTTGGGTCATAGTGGAACCTATATAATTATTATAAATTTAGAGTAAGGCTTAATAATAAATCAATTATCAAATATAAAGAATTTTATAAAAATAAATTTTATAAAAAAGATACTTACTTTGGGTTAAGAAAATATGTTGCTGCATGAAGAGGCCTATGAAGTTGTAAATCCCAACGCTTGTCAATGATTTCCCATACATCCTTATATCTCTTTTCCTCATGATTAAAACTCTTTGCTATTTCTTCCTTTGCTCTATCCATAGCCTCATAAATGTATCCCATTGTAGGTTTTGAATCACCATCCACAAGTCTGAGAACTTTCACAAGAGGAGACACAATTTTCAAACAATAATGTATTGATTTCCAAAACCTTTTATCAGCCAAAACAACATTTTCTGCAAATTTGGCTTCCGGCCTAGAGGAATAAGCACTATTAACCCATTTTTCAGATGCAAACATAGAGCGAAGTGCATTCTTTTGTTTCAAAATTGACTGCATTGTCAAAAATGACGTAGCAAACCTTGTTATTGCTGGCCTAGCTAACTCTCTACCTTTGGAAAAGGTTCTATATAAATTCAACACCCATGTGTGCCTATAAATGAAATTTGTAATTCTTTTTGCTTTCCAAATGGTATTATAGAACACTGTAATGCCACCAATGTCTTCCAAAATCAAATCAAGACAGTGGGCTGCACAAGGTGACCAAAAGAGTTGCTTTCTTTTATCCATCAACTTTTGTCCAACAGATACAAGGGCTGAAGCACTATCTGTCACTACTTGAACGACATTCTCTTCTCCAATTTCCATCACCATCTCATCAAGTAATTCAAACATTTTTCAGCATCTTTAATAAGACTGCTTGTATCAACAGATTTTATAAAAACAGTCCCTCTAGGACTATTAACAAGAAAATTAGTAAGAGATCTACCCTTTCCATCAGTCCATCCATCAGACATCAGTGTACAACCAGTTTTCTTCCATTCCAACTTATATTTATCCAAATTAGCATGGACTAAATCAACTTCTTTCTTCAAGTATGAAACCCTCACTTCATGATAACTTGGTGGTTTTAAGCCTCTACCATATTCACTAATAGATTTCACCATATTAATAAATAATGGAGTCTTTACCAAATTAAATGGCAATGCATTGCCATATATGCATCTACAAATATCTCGAACTACCAAATCTCTATCCTTCACCATTGAATTCAAAGTTTGTTGTTTCGTTGTAGATGAGCCACTTCCACCTTTTTTATTAATCATAAAACTATCCATGCTACCATTTTTTTGTGAATCTTTATCATCAAAGCACTCTAGTTCATCATCATTGCTTGCAGCTTCCAATATTTTTATAAATGGATTCCTTATCTCTTCTGGAACTTGTTGACATGGAGCAACTTCTTTGTGTGTTCCAGCAAGATGATGCTTCATTCTAAATTCTCCTCCCCACATTGTTTTGGGACAATAGTTACATTTGACATTCAACTTATTGCCAAGAGACTTACAATGATCCCATGTTATATCCTTTTGTTTTTGAGATTTTTTCTTTGGAGCCATTTTTGTTGCTTCTGTACAAGAGAAAAAAATTAAAGATGTGCACACAAAAAAATATTCACTTTACTGTATAGCTATTTAAATATATTTCACTAATTCACTTTATAGCTATTTAAATATTCAGTTTACTTCATAGCTATTTAAATATCCTTTTGTTGCTTCTTTGGAGCCACGTTATATCCCACATTATTGCTATTTAGTATTTAAAAGAATATCGTATTCTACTCTCTGTTTTCAGCCTTCGACCTTCAACTCTCTGGCTCTGCAACGAGGAGTCTCCAACTGCGCTTCTTCTCCGATTTCAACTCTCTGCAACGAGGAGTCTCCCACCTTCAAGAACCTTCAAAGCCTCTTCTTGATCTTCTATATAAAAACTCTCATCCTCTCTGTTTTTTGTTTTGTTTTCCTTTTTGTTCTTTCTCAGTTTTGTTGTTTGTTATTATATAAGATTCAAATGGGATTTTAAATCCCAAATTTTTCTGAAGCAAAACAACTCTTCGGATTACGTTTTTAATCTTTTCAACTTCAGCGACCGTTGGTTTTTTTTTTAAAACCTAAATCGCAAATTTGTAGCGATTCACGATTCGAAACTGGATCGTACGATTTAAACGATTCTTTGTTCCGATTCTGACCATAAACGATTCAGGGATGCGATTGGGATCATTTTTCTGGTGTATCGTATCGTATCGCACGATACGTATCGCGTATCGTGCGATACTAACAACCTTGTTTATTACAGGTTTGAGTAGACGACTTTTACCTCATTGAAGTTAACACCTGATAACAAATAAGTAAAATCTTGACAGTATAAGAAGATCACAAATAAGTTAGCCCCCGGTGGACAAACATTGTAGAAAGTTGTACCGAAAAGAAACTAGTCAAGTTTCTTGGAGCCAAATTTCCAAGAGGTTATTACAGATGCAAATGTCCAAGGCTGCATGCTAGGACCGCAAGAAAACCAAGAATCAAATTTGAGCAAAGTTACACAACATCGAGTTGGTCCTACCACTCTTTCTTTAATCGGCTCCAGTAGCATAGGAGGAAGATAAGGTTTACTATTTGGTGATGAGATGACAGTAAATTATAAAGACACAATTGAACATTCATTTAAAGACAGATTGTGGATTAAGCAAGAGAAGAATTTCAGTGGTCCTGGATCACCATTTACTCGGTGATCCGGACCAATCAAAATCATAGAACTAATGAGGAGATAGGAGAGAAAAGAAATAAAAATAACTTTTTGTCCAAATGTCACCTCTTGAATGGAAGGATCACATGGGGCCAGGAGCACAAAAAAAAATTCCATCAAGTAGGACCCACTCAAGATTGAGATAGGTGTTGTGAAACCTCTTCTTTATCTAATATGCTTTTAGTATACCAACATTTGTTACTACACTCTTCAACATGATGTGATTTATAAGTTGCCAAACCATTAAATCGATCCAACAAGGATTGGTCATACTTATGGTACGGACAAATATGTTATCATAGTTTTTAAATATACCAATGAGAGTGGAGCCATTGTGAGTATTGAGTAACTGCTCATTTTTGGGAGCAAGAACAAATTAATGAATACAAAATGGGGGTCGGCCTTGGTGTGTTTGGCCCTATATGTTACTTCTTCGTGAGCACGAATGGTAATGCAGGATGACTTCGACTTCAAATTCAAGACAAATGTCATACGAAAAGTCCAATTATGCTGGTTGGTTGATTAGTATGCCGTTCATGTTTTCATCACCAAAATGGAAGAAAAGCTTGCCGTTGAAGATGATCCAAACTACGGGCCCACCAATAACCCTTTCTTTTGACAGGTTTTGTTGTTCCTTTATATTGTTTAGCTATTAAAAAATATATGCATGTAGAATGGCAGCCCAAGAAGACATGAAAGTGATATCATCGACATGTGGCAAAAAAATTTATTTATTTCTTTTTAATAAATTATTTACGTATTTGTAATAGTTTTTAAAATAATGACGGATATACTGCACAATGTGACGCCTAAACTGCCCCAATTAGGCGTCTCAACCATATGGGTGACGCCTAACTGGGGCATCACATGTGCGGCCCTATATATTCCCCCTCCACTCTATTCACTCTTCACACCTCTTCTCTCACTCTTTATATATCTTCTCTACCCAAAATTCTGACATCATACATACATAATCCTTTATCTTTAATTTAGTATTTTCATTTTATTTCTTATTCTATTTAAGAATGAGTTCACATCCTAATTTTGTTCGTGTTGTGTTATATTACAATGGTAGGAAGGTAGAAGGTCGACGAAGTGTCATGTTTGAAGGTGAAAAAAGGCCGACACGTATCCAACGCAACGCAACCATTGGCAAACTGCATCAGAGAATTCAGCAGAAGTTAAGTCTTCAAGGCAACCAATGTATCACTCAGATCACAACAAGGTTATGGCAATGTGATAAATACATTAGTTTGCAAGTGGTTGACGATGAAGACGTGGAGATGACAATGGAAGAACTTTTCAACTAGTCAAGGACAGATTTTATGGAGTTGTATGTCGACATCGCCACAGCGGAGAATGTTCCATTACCGGTGAGGTCAGTTGATTTAAATTCTCCCCATCTTCCATTAACGTCTGCCGCTCATGCATCTCCAGTTGGTAACATTTCTGAGGGAGATGAAAATGATCCGACTTGGGAAATGCATGACGAAGACGACAACGATGATGATGAAAATATCGCAAAGGAAGAACATCTTCTGACGGAGGATGCTAGTGCTTCAGAAGGAGATGAAGGTGGTGAGATGGGTGCGTCTCAAATCCCAGTATACCATGAACCAGTGGTCGCGCAAATGCCGCAATTGCCTGACGTTGCGTCTCCCCCATTAGGAAGTCATCATGAAGGTAATTGATATAATCTGTATATACCTGAATTGATACCTGATTTAATACCTGATTTAGGGAGTTTGTATTAAAAAGTTGTAATTATCAGATGCAGGTGACGAAGCTGTTATTCCTTTTTGGGAAGGAATTCTGCATTATTCGTACATTGATTGGAGTTATCGGAGCGAACAAGAATCATGCACTGATGGTACGGTTTCAGGATCGGGTTCAATACAAGGTCCGTGGCAACTGGGTGACAATTTATTTGTGAACCAAGAATTTACAACAAAAAAAGATGTCCAAATGGCACTTAAGCATAACCTCATTAGGGAGCATCAAGAAGCAATTGTAATTGAGAGCACGCCTGCGAAGTTATCCATGAAATGTTGTGCGTATGATAAAGGTTGCCCGTGGCGCGTTAGGGCGATCAAACCAGTGTTTGGTGAAAAATGGAAGATTACGAGATGGGGAGGAGATCACAATTGTTTGAATGACCACATTTCCCAGGGTCATAGACAGCTCGATGCGGACGTTATTGCGGATCTCGTCCTAGGTACGTATTTATTTACAATTAGATGTCAACGTTTATATACTGCTGTGTAATTAAATTAGTTCTATGTAATGTTGTCTGTAATCTCCACGTTGCAGGGATGATAAGGGAAGAACCATCTGTCTCAATTTCTTTGGTTCAAGAAAGGATAACCTCTAAATATGGCTTTAAAGTTTCGTTCAGAAAGGCATGGTATGCGAAGCAGAAAGCGATGGCAATTATGTACGGTGATTGGGAGGAATCGTATGTTTTTTTGCCAAGGTGGTGCGAATACATGCTTCGCTTTTCTCCAGGTTCATTTTATCATATCCAAACAAATGATTTTTATGTGGACCATGGGTTAGTTCCTGGAAAAAAAGTGTTTCGTCGCATTTTTTGGACGTTCAGACAGTGTTGTGAGGCGTTCAAATTTGCCAAACCAGTCATACAGATTAATGGAACACATTTATATGGGAAGTACAAGGGAAAATTGTTGGTGGCCACAGCCCAAGATGGAAATGATGAATGTTTACCGATCTCTTTTGCCATCGTTGAAGGTGAAACATTGGAATCCTGGGACTATTTCATTGTTAATATTCGTGCTCATGTTACTGAGATGTCAAACATATGCCTCATCTCCGATCGTCATCATAGCATAATATCCACTGTGGAGAATAACCGTAATTTGCTGTCACCAAATGCATATCACGTGTTTTGTATTCGTAAAAATGAGGGTATTTATAGGGCTCAAGTGTGACGCCCCTTTTGGGTGTCACATTGTGCAAGAAATGTGCAATTTTTTTGAAAAGTGTAATAAATGCGTAAATAATTTAGTAAAAAGCAATAAATAAATTTTTTTTGCCTCGACAGT